TTTTTTTTTTTTTTTTTTAATTATTTGTATCGCTCGACCATCACATAAAAAGCACGCTGCTGTGGTTGTTTCTATTCGTGTTACCGCGTTTTGCTAATTTTTTTTTTTTTTTATATATATGCTCGAGCAATAAGAGGTGAGATAAAATTCAATTGCGGAGCCTCTTTACTGCCACTCCCGACTCTAAAAAGTTAAGCCCACGTACACAGACGTAGAGGGAAGATATAATCTTCCAACCCAAACACCCAAAACCAGTGAATCTAAACTTGAAACGCAAACGTACACGAGGGTAAAATAAAAAATTCCAGCAGCCGTATCATCCGCAAGAGCTGGTGAGCTTGACAGCCCTGCAGCCGGCGGCCCTCGACTTCCAGCAGCACCGGCCGGGCCCACCGGGTTCCCACGAGCACAACCCATCGCCGACTGTCCCCCGCAGTGCCCAGGCGGAGACGTGCTTGGGCGGTCGCGCGCCCACGATGCCCGACGTCACCCTCGCGATAAACGCCGGCGAGCCCGAGGTGCTGCTCCTCGGCAAGAAGCTACTGGGGAAACCGCCAATGAAGCACGCGGTGGTCGGCACCTCGACGACCACGTATACGGCGTCCGTGGGCACGGCAACGGAGGACGTTGGGGGTACCGAGGGTACGGCGATGCCCGACATCGCCAACACGATGGAGCAGCGCAAGCAGCCCGACGGCGAGGACGTGCTGCTCAAGCTCGCCAGGTGCCACGAGATGGTGCAGCTCGACGTTGGCGAGGCTGCGCCCGCGGACCCGGGCCTAACGAGCAACGGCATGCTCGACAGGATATCGCACGACCTCGACTACCTGCTCAATCGCACGAAAGACGACGCGTAGAGGGCCCCATTTTTTTCCATCAATATACATATATATATTTTTTTTTTACCTTCCATCCAGGAGGACTATTTCTGTGCACGTCGGAGACTTCACGTTGAAGAGCGTTGCTCTCGTGTGAAATTTTTTTTTTTTTTTTTTTCGTTTACTCGTGGTGGTTTCTGTAGGCTTTGACTGACCTCCTTTGAGCGCAAACATTATTGTTCTGTACATATTATAATATGTGGCAGCTATATAGGTACCACACGTAGCTACTGAACGGCGCCAGATTAGGCGTTTCGTGTGTAAAATATGTAAAAAGTGTGTATTTTCGCGCTCGTGCGCTGCGTGTGTCTATGTATAAATATATGAAGTTTACGGATCGAACCGCTCTATTGAGCAGTAAGTGTGTTATTGTTTTTAGTAGCAACGTGAAAATATTTACGGCACACAAGACTGTTGATGGAATGCTATGGTGGGAGACACGATGAGGGTTGGAAAATTTTTAAATTAAAGCTCATGAGTTGCATCGAATTTGTTTATTTGATGCATTTCTACATCACAGTTTTTTTTTTTTATTGCTTAGGTAGTTAAAATTGGTTTTAAATTTGGTATTATATGAATTTCGATACTGTTGTACGTGTCTACGTTTCAAGAATATACTATAATTTTTTATTTTTTCGTAATTAGATACGTACAAGTATGTAGTAACTTTTAATTTTAAATTTCAACTGAGCAATCACTTCGATTGTTAATTGATTCAAATTTTAACAGTGAATTTTCTTTTATTCATTCGTTTATTATAATGCGATTTCACTATTTATTTTTCAAGTTTCAACTACGGTTGTTTTATTGCGAAATTAAAACATTTTGGAACCCTAATTGCGTCTCAAAAATCGTGCGTCTACGTGAAAAATAAAATGTTCTTTTTTGAATTTTGGAAGGAGCTGTGCCAAACATCACCATAAAGAATTTATAAACGAGATCAAAAAGTCACTACTCAAATTCTAGTATTGGCCAGGTGCATGTCATGCAGCGCAACCCTTGGTGTCAAAATCATGCAACCGCGGGTACCTACATTACACGTCAACAGCATACACCGATGCACACTTTTGGTAATAATTAATTAACTAGCAAAAAATAAGTGTATTTATTCATCTGATAATGGATGTTATCATAAAAACAGGCTTTAGGAATATCACACACTCGATTTGTTTTAACTCGGAAGCCTTTAAAAAAGGTAAACAGTTGGTTGAAAGTAGTCGTGTGTGCGATGTTACAGAATTTCAAAGTGATGGAGTTAGCAATTTGACAAGTGCCGTCGTAATAAGGCAGACCTCGGTAACTTCAGCTTCGTACAAAGTTAACCTGCATGTACGTTTTATTTAGATTATTTTGAAAATTGTCTATAAGTTGCAAATCACATGAAAATTACTTTTATTTACAGTTGGATAATCATTGAAATTTATGTAATTTTACTCCATGTGTCTTTGCGCTACTGTTACACTGAACAACACAGCACTTTCTTACACCCACATTTCATAAACGTTTAAATAATAGAAATCACAATGATCATGTCTTATTTCGCGTATTTATCTCTCTTTTTGCCGTCTGCTTCTGAGAGTGTGCTCTGGATCGAAAACTAACGAGGCTTCATTAATAAGTATATTGTTACATTCAAACATTTTACAACCGTTCTTGGCACCACATAGTTCTTTTTTTTACATTTGTGTAACTGCAATTTCATAATATTGATACTATTTATGCATATTTGATGATAACATCTGTAAATTTGACGAAATACTGTTATTCTTTCCTTAATTAAGCAAAAATGACAGTAATTTGGTACCCCAGGTTTCCTGTTTTCGCCACTACGCACGCTGGCGTCAACTCATCGATCCCCTACCATCACTTGCACCAGGGGTCTGATCGGGGCCTTCGATATCTCGCAAAAGTAAGCATTTTTGTCGATTATCGGCGATAATTGCCATTTTTCTGCGCCATTGTCATAATTATAATTCCTAAACTGCGCATGCTCATTATCGTTATTTTTGGTTATTTTATAGGGATTATCGAAAATAATGCTTACTTTTGCGAGATATCGAATGCCCCGATCAGACCGCAGGTTTGTAAATAATACAACACCACCTCGAAATGTTTAACTTGCTAAGGCTGAGATAAACAACTGCCAATTCATTATTATTATTACCTTATTTGTTAAATTACATTGATGAAAGTTGACGTGTTATTGAAAATTTTTTAACCTTCACAGATGTTAATGTATACTTCGAATTTCAGAAAATAAAATGTAAATTTAAAATTCACGCGTTAAAATAATTAAGGATGTTATATTTGTTGAAGTGACTGTCATTATATTTATAAGTAAGTATGTTCATTGTTAAGAATTTGGTGATATTTTATTAAACAATGTTTTACTCTGTTGTAAAGAAAATATTTAATGACAAACTGTTTAAAATTGTTTTATTTGACTGAGTGATAATCAAATATTTGTTAAGATTCAAATAAATCATTATTTAAGTAAATATTTATTTTTAAAATGCAGTTGTTGTGATGAAAATAATGCAAGTCGACGAAGAGTCATTACATGATAAACGAATTTCAAGCGGACACTTATTTGGTATTTTAATACACATGACAAAAACTAATCAGAAGTGTAAATTCCGCTGTAAGTCGCCCAGATTGGCTTTAAAATATAACAACTGAATTATTAGATAAGAATCTAAAATATCAAAACAACAGTTCATTCCTACCAAAAAATACGAAAAATTTTCTGACTTTAGTAGAGGACGAAGTTGGGTTTAAAAATATAAACTCCGTTGAAAAACTATTACAAAGTTAATTTGAAATACTTTTTTTTTTTGCCATATAATGTTATATTAATGAGATTGAAGTTTGAGGCGGAGGACGAAATAGACATTGAGATAATTTTTAATTGACTGATGCTGAGATGGAGTGAATTTTTGTAATTAAATATGCCATTTTATATTTATCTGTTCCAGCAGTATAATTGAAAAGTACACGAGTTAATGCAGAAAATATTTTTCTAGCACTCTTACATTTTCACGTAAGAGCTCTTAATGCCATCTGGGCGAGTTACAAAGGAAGACAAAATTGCTCATAAATAAATAAAACTTTTAATGAGGTAACGAAACATGAAATGAAAAAAGTGTCGAAACAAGAACTAACTTCCTAACATTTTTTTTCCACATCTAGGTAATACATTATTATTAAATTTACAAGGAATTGTCAAGAAGCAATAGGAATTTTAACACAAGCGTGAATTTTAATACTACAATTTCACTTAAAAAACAATGAGCATGTGAAAAAAATTTAATATCAAACATCCTAATCGTCAAATTTCTCTATTCAATCGTTGTAAATGCTTGAATAAAACGCCATTTGTACGTGTATGGAAAAAAAAAATTTTTTATAAAATTTTTGTAACTTCTTCGGATAAACAAAATATCCATTTATCTATTGAATAAAAATAATAATAAAAATCAAAGACTGCATATTGAATTTAATCAAGCGTTTGATAAATATAATGCAAAACCCTCAAAATTTATAGAAATTGATATAAATTCTTGATGTTTAAAAACAATATTATTTATCCTTCCTCTGATATCCATTTTAAATCCCCTCCATCGGCATGCTTTCGATGTTCCGAAATTCATACTCATCCCACATTGGTAACTTTTTTATATATTAAGACTCGTTTAAGCTATCAATAAGTAATGCCATCACAGTAAAACACTAATTGCAGTTGATAGCAGATAGTAATCGCTGTGGAATTACGTATTATACCTTGTTGATAATTTTAGACATAATTTTATAATACACCTACTATTAATTGTAAGTATTATAAAAACATACACACCTATTTCATTGCAATGTTGATCCTGCAATGGTTCGGTGATCTTAATGACTCCAAGGAAAAACAAGACATTGCCCTCCCACACAACTTTGTAAGGAAAGAAATTAAATAAATATAAGTACAATAAACAGCAACAATAGCAACACAACTACTTGGGCTGTGAACACAAATTGCACAAATCACTCGATCTGACGTTAGTAAGATATCGACGTGTTCGGTGGTCGGTAATGCAGACACCACGGTTGACGTTTTTTGCTTTGGGCGTAGAATATGCGTTCCCGTAATATTTCTTTTTCTTCTCCACTTCACCAGTGACTCCAGTCCAGAAAACTCGTAGCGTAGCTCAGAAACCCTAAGGACGTTTTTTTTGTTCAGGCCTGATTACGCTTCGTTGATGGCCTTCGCTCTTGTATATAAAATCCACCTCCTATATAAATTTATACTTTTGGAGGTAAATTTTTGGGTAAAAAAATCAATTGTTAACTTGCAGCAAACAGCACAAACAACGTTAACTTTTTATCTTATACATACAAGATTACTTGCGGCTGGTTTATTGTCGGTTAAATGGCTCTGCAATAAGTATATAGTAATAATTATTTGGCTCATGAATGAAATTCTCAAGGAGAGTTTTAGGCATTTTTGGCTCTATAGAGACATTTAATCAATTAAAAACCAGCCGCAACAACTCTCATAAATACGAAATAAAATTTGACTTTATCTGCTTTATTAGCGGCAAGTTTACAATTTATCTTTTACCCGAAAGTACAAAAATATAAAAGATCAACATTCAGATATAAAATAACTGCAAACTTGCCGCAAATAGCACAAATAGCGTCAACTTTTTATTTAACACTGTTACAATTAATTGCGGCTGGTTTATAATTAATTAAATGACACTGCTGTAATTTGTAGTGATAATTTTTTTGATCAGCGCCATCTAGCGCTGCAAATTTCTGAACTAAAAAGTGGCCCTAGAATTCTCAAGGAGAGCTTTAGCCATTAGAGACATTTAACCCATTATAAACCAGCCGCAACTCATATTGTAGCTATAAAATAAAAAAATAATCATACATCTGTTTTTGGCGGCAAGTTAACAATCTATTTTTACCAAAAAATTGACCTCCTATGTATTTATACTTTTGAAGATAAATTTTCGAGTAAAAAATAGATTGTTGACTTGCCGCCAAAAACACATGTATCGTTGTTTTTTTATTTTATAGCTACAACATGAGTTGCGGCTGGTTTATAATAAGCTAAATGTCTCTAAACGCTAAAGCTCTCCTTTAGAATTCTAGGGCCACTTTTTAGTTCAGAAATCCGCAACGCTAGATGGCGCTGATTCAAATAATTATTGCTATATATCTATACTATCTAACTATACTTGTAGCAGAGTAATGTAATCAATTATAAACCAGCCGCAAGTAATTATATCAATACAAAA